TCAAGTTCTAAGATCGGCGTACAGCGGACTGACATCAAAATGCTGACGCTCAAAGACATATGCATCAGAAATGGCTTAACTGCACCCCAGAAACGCTCTTGAAAGCATTTTCGGGTGGCCCATAGAACAGTGGGAGATGGAAGTGAAGGCATATGAATCAAAATGCGACAAAAAATAATCATTGCTGACTGCAAATCCCCCCAGCAGCAGTTACTAAATTACAAAATTTTTTTGCAACGGTGATAATTGGAGGGGTGTGCAAGAACCAGATTCATGCAAATTTTCAACTGAAATCATTCGTTAAAAATGGCCCTTATGAAGTACGAGCGCGCAAGTGCTGAAAAAAAAAAAGAAAAAATTAGTATAAATCCTTTAAAAGAAGCTCTCTTTTTCCACACCGCACAACATTTTTTGCAAAAAAGGCAGTGAGGCTACATGCCCTCCCTTCTCGCCTTTTCTTGCCACATTACTACTGCTTAAAAAGCAAAAAAAAAAATTAATTTCTACTGTACCGGCTTATCCGTAACAATGTTCTCGCTTCCCACAGCAGAAGAATTGGCTCCCGATTTTTTCTGAAACAAGAAATACTCAAGTTTGAGTGACAAAGCATGACAGGATATTGGGAAGCCACAGGATGGAGACTTGGAATGTGAAAAATACCGCTGGCGGCGAAATGCGAATATCAGGCAATTTGACGCCACGTGATTCACTAAGCTTCAATCGCTTCCGAACTTTTTTATTCATTTGTCCGTTCTTCTGAACGACAATCGCCTGGAAATACTGAATTAAATTTTATTTTAATCATAAAAAAAGTATTGCATGATGCCGAAAAACACGCACTGCTCAGCCCACTTTTTCTGGAAACCGAACCCACTTAATTTGCCCAGTTCGAATTAAGCCCACCCGGCAGCCGATAAATAACATTTGAAGAAGATGTAACTCTCGGTAAGAAACACAAGAAGCAGTTGACCGGAAATGGCGATATGATGAGGTTGTCTGAAACGAAAGAGATAATAAAGACTGCCTGTCCGGTAGGGGCATTGCTGTGTCATCGTTGCACTTTCTCCGCTGCCTCAGCTTGAGAGAGACTGGGGAGCGCGCCACCAAAAATCAAAGTGAGAGGGGCAGTTTGCTAGAGATTATGAAGACGACGCCAGCCTGCCACGAACTTCTGATGCCAGTCCACAGATTGGCATCAGAAGTTGTGGTAATGGTAAGAATGGTGAGAAATGTATACCACTTAATGGACCGAAAAATTTCCTACCATTAAAAAATATTTTACAATACATTCCAATTTTTATTAATTTCTTAACACCACTAGCTTTCTTCTTACAACATTAAAATATTTTTATTGCTATTACCAACTCTCGACCGTAAGCCGAGATCCGTCCTTCGGGAACATTTCTGTAAGATTTGCACCTTCTACACCCCCAAAGTACGAGGAACAGCGCAATGAAGAAGCACAGGCTCCAGCGAAGCAAGCTAAAGCATTGCACATGTGCAGCAGAACGTTGTGTGACACATCTAAACATACCCTTCCTGGCAGAAGCACCACGCGCAACAGCAGCAGGCAGGTTCTTAAGGGCTTCGCATACAAAGCCTTCTAGTTACAGGCGTACTACAGTGAAGAGAAATCAATGATAAAGTAAGCATGAAGAGAGTAAAATGTGGAGAACGAACGGCCAGCCTCATCATTATGATGAATCATGCATGAAATCAGCACAGAGCGCATCATGAAACGCATCAGTGTTTCGCCCTTTTTAGAAAACAGTTTGCATTTAATAATAATAATAATAATAATAATAATAATAATAATAATAATAATAATAATAATAATAATAA